AAAAATTTAAGCTGTTACTATATTTTTAGTTATACTTCGTATATAAGTATATATGTATTATTATAAATACATTTTTTTGAAAATTGTATATAATAAAAAGCCACAAAAGAAACTTTTAGGAAGGTATTAATGATAGAAGCTGAAGTTCTTAAAAGAAGATAAGATAATAGAACAAGTATATAAATTCAAAACTTGGTTTTTTAAAATAAATAAGTAAAATTGAAAAATACTATGTGAGTCTACTAAGAAAAATAAAATTACAAAAGATTAATTATATGAAAATAGGAAATAGGTTGAAAAACATATAAGTGAATACTAATAGTGATTTGATATCAATATGTTAAGAAAATAAAACCTGGGGCTGGGAATTTAGCTCACTGGCATAAGCACCTGCCTTGCAAGCAGGCGGTCATGAGTTTGATCCCCGGTACCAGTAAAAAAAAAAAAAAAAAAGTTTAAAAAAAAAAGAAAATAAAACCTAGAAGAAATCAATACTTTCCTAGGAAAATATGCTATTACATCTGACACAGAGAAAAAAAAAGATGAACTGAACAATTATTATAGAAGAAACTGGAAAAGTGATTCATGATTTTTTATTGAAAAAGACTGCAGGCAGATGAACTCACAGCTGAATTTTTAATCTAGCTATTAAAAACAGAAAGTTCCAATATTATTTAAACTATTGTAACAGTTAGATTAAATGTTCATTAACTAATTTTATGAACCCTGAATTATGTGGATACCACATTCTAGGAAAGAATGGAAAAACCATTAAAAGTATACATCAGTTTCATCACCAATTATAGATGCCAAATATTTAAATAGCACATTGTAGACAACTCTAAAGAGTAAAATACTACAACAAATCAGGGTTTATTAAAGTAATAAAAGCACAGTTCAATACCAGGAAGTCTGGCTACAAATTGCGTACATTAAAAATTAAAAGAAAAAAAACCGCTGATCATTATCAATAGACTGGGAAAAGGAAACGTCAAGAGACGAATGCCAAAGGAAAATCTAAGGGAAATTGGAACAGAAAAAAATTACCTACATAAAGAAAAGATCACTAGCCATCATGGTCTAAATGGCCAAAATTAAACCTTTTGCTTAATATTAGGTATCAGGCAAGCATCACCAAAATCACTTACATTGATGACTTAGCAATGAGAAATAACATAACTGGTGTAACTAATTAAACAAGGGATACATTTCCTTATGCAGGCTATGCCTGTTTTCTTTGAAAACCCAAGAGACCATCCTGAAAAACAAGGGAGCTTGGTGAATTGGATGGGTATAAGGTAAACTATAGAAATCACTCCTCCCCACTCCTGCATTCAGGCAAAGGCACTTAGCAAAGGATCTGGAAAGAACATTTGATTCAAAAGATAAACACTATGAAACCACTTGGCCCAAGGTTGGTAAGAAAGGTATAGAGCACAGCATATAAACAAAACTATAAAAAATATTATGTAAAACGAAATACAGGCAAACAAAAAACTTTATTACCTTCTTAATTAGGACAATGTACAACTATGTTGATTATCCAAAACCAATAGATAAATCTAATATTATTTTTCCTACATAAAATACTATATGACAATTGATAATGGCCTTTGTCTGCACACAACAGTAATTTTTAATAAGTACCAATTTTAACTTGGTTTTTTAAAAAAGATTTTTTGAGAAGCATCAAAATAACACTGAAAATGATTCTAAACACTTTGGTAAATACTTTTATATTTAATAAATGTCAAATTATATATAGTAGGTTTTAAATACCTATCCCTTGTTTCCTGATCAATAAATACTAGAGTTAAAGAATGAACGAAGTCTAAGGACAGGTGTTTTGGGGTTTTTTGTCTTGTTTTTTATTTTGTTTGTTTTTTTTCACACATTGTTCTTGTAAGGTCTGGTCAGACTTGGTTGTACATTAGAATTACTTATGGAACTTCATAAGAATATAATAAAAATAGAGATTCCAGATTTGTACCACTAAGAGTTTCTGCAATCAGTATCAACAGTAAGAATTTTAGGACTCACTGGCTAATGCTGCAGTAACACTGCTTATCTGAGAGTTTCTTGTCTGAGCACAGAAACCTAGTAAAGATTTTCAGTGAGGGGGCTTAATTTTAATTTTTCATGAAAAATGACACATTCTCTCTTAAAAATGAGAGTTGGAATAGACATTAAAAATAAACATGATATTATTTTCTATTTTAGAGAAACAAAATATACCCTTTTTATGTAGCAGTAAATAGTGAAAGTTTGTTGAAAACAACATAACATATTGGTTTGGGTTGCAACCATATTCTATTTTAACTCTTGTTTTCTTCAATCATAAAATAGGCATGACAACAGAATTTCCTTCTCCATGATACAAGTGTTTCCCTTGCCAATTTAGTATGTGCTATCTGAAAACCATCAGACAGGATCAACACTATTATCTCCTCAGCAGTAGTATTTGTGATGATGATGTTAATGTTTCCACAAGTGTACTGTATGGAGCTAATATATAATAGGTAATATTCTTGAATCAAGATTCAACATTGTGGTTCTGAATGAAGTTTTATCAAAGGCATGACATATTCTGATTCTACTCGTTTACTATTTTCATTTTAAAGTAATACCTTTGAATGTCCTCAGGTCATACACTTATGAATACAAGTGAATTCACCCCAATAATCAATGTCTAAACAAGGTTTAACCATCACTTTATGTAATAAATTACTTTCCTCAATTCAGACCCTTTCATTCACCACAGGAAATCTTCAGCTGTCTTCCAGGTGCTCACAAACAATTCTACTCCTTTTCTCTATTCCTCTGAGAGTCGACTTATTTTGACCTTATTTTGGATCCCTGTGTCCTTCATGAGAACACGCCCTCGCTGGGCACAGCAGTTCTTTTTTGGTGGCAAAACTGCACAGAGGTCTAGGCAGACTGGCAGATAAAATGACTCTTTCTCCAGCTTGGTACCTACAGGATTTCTCACCAGGCTAACAGTAGTAGTTCATAGATCTGAAATCTCACGGTCATTTGTGAAAATGATTCTGGTCCTACTGTGTTTCTCAAGCAGGCTCAAAACTGGAGACCTGAAAGCAGAGAACACAGGTGCCAACCATCCCCTCCATTCCTTTTGTCAGCTTTCCAAGGCCACTATCACAAAAAAAATTCTCTTCCATCTTTAGTCAGAAACACAATTCGCTAATAATATAAACTATACAGTAGAAATAGATGATTGGAGAGGACATCAATCCATCAGCTCCACAAATGATACATTTTAAATCCCACCTTCGTCTTCAAGAATCATTCATTTCTTAAGCTATGACCCCTTTTTCCCGAGTTGCAGCTGCCTAGCTTCTCTGGAGAACTAGTGCTCTGGCTGCTCAGCAACAAGGGGCTCTGGGGATTTCTGTGTGCTGGTAAGGAGGTGTGAATATTAACACTAACAGGCAATGGTAATGGCGCACCATACATAGGCAATTTAAATTTATTTCCAATTCTAGAAAAGCTTTCTGTAGGTGATGTGCGAGTTGTGACTATTCTGCTATCCTTTTATTTTTTCTTTCAATTCTGGTGAGATATTTGAAGAACCATAATGGTAGGTTTAAAACTTTAGCTTTATTCCTGGGATTGGAAGAATGATAAAGTGTCCTATAGTAATAGTATAAGCATGGCATAACATGTAATACGATGTAAATAAATGATAGTGTAAGAGTGATGAGATAGGCAATGGAGAATTACATCTTATTCTCACATGACCCTAACATTTCTTCTGGTAATGTCTCAGAATAGTTCTGCATGAAGCTCAGTTTGTGAACCTAACACAGCAAGGTCTGAGTGCAGTTTCTCCACTTAAAAATTAGGAACAATGTTACCAACCTTACAAGTTTTTAAAAGAAATGAAAGAAATTATAAAGACACCGCCAGTCTACCGTTTAGTTCCTAGTAGGCATTCAATTTATTTTGCTTTACTCAAAAGATAAAAATAGCTTTCATCCACAAAACAATGATTTTGTGAAATTTCATATTGAAGTCTATTTGAAGACCTCTTTTCCTCTTTATTCGCATCTTCTAGGTAACTGCCAACTCTGTTCCAACTTCCAACTGAAATTGTACTCTTTATTTTTATCTTCACTGTGGTTTGAACCGAACCTATTTTTGAGTTGTTTTAACAGCGGCAAGGACACCAAAGTGTAAGGGAGCATCATGTGCAAGGAGGACTTTTCCTAGTTCATTTAACGACTTGATTTCATCCCATTTTACAGCACAATCATCTCTAAAATTATGACTCTCGGCGAACCTCAAATATTCTTGAATTTCTTTTACAACCTTTTAGAGCTCTGGGAGTCAAAGCGGCTCCCTAAATCTACATTTTCGCAACCGCTGAGGTCCGCTTTGCTTGGCAGCAGCTGTGGCGCTCTGGCGCACCTGCTCCTGGCTTCAGGGCGCCGCAGGGTGGGGCCCCACCTGATTTCATTTTCTAACTTTCCCTGCGACTAAAGGTGCTTAGATTTTTAGAGATCCGAAGACCTCCTGGAAAGATTCTGGGCGCCCCACGTTTTGTGCCGAGCTGTCCGTGACAAGAACCAGGTGGAGACCGCGGGGTGGAGCCGGAGGCGCCGCGGGCCCGCGCCCTGCGCATCTCCGGAGCTGGACCGGCCCGGCCCGGTTGCTAGGTCCTCTGTTTGCCGCGTTCTAAAGGAGCCCGAGCGGGACCACCACTCCAGACGAGGGGGGATCCCGGAAGAGCCGTGGCACCGTTACCAGGTCCCAGCGAGGAGACGCAGTAGCCCCCGCGATGGTCCCCGCCCCCAGGCCTTCACGCGCAGGGGGCCGAGGGTCCCCCTCGCGCTTGGTTCCTCCCAACCGCAGCCCGCGCCTCCCCGCACGCCGCGCACCCCCGGGCGCGGAGGGTGAATGGTCTGTCCCGCCGGGAGCCTCCACCCCTGGAGCCTCACAGCTGCTCGCGCTGCTAGCGCTGCTCCCGCTGCTGCGCTCGAGCGCCGGTCCCGAGCCGCGGTTGCTGGGGCGGTGGCGGGCGAGGGTTGCGGAGGGTCGCAGGCCACCGCGCAGGTTGCCGCCTCGGGAGCCGCCCGCGGCCGGAGGCTAGGACCCCGCGGGACGCCCTCGGCGCGGTGAGTACCTGCCCTCGCCCCTGCGAGCTCGTCGCCGGCCCGCACCCCGAGGTCTCGGCCCCCTCCCGCGGCGTGGCGGTCGGGACGGCGTCCCGCGGAGACGGCGGAGCCCTGGCGGATGATTCAGCAGCGCCGGTGCCCAGAGTTGGGGGATGGGGGACGGTGCCGGCGCCGCGGAGCCCCGGGCGCGGCAGGGCGGGGGGCAGCCCAGAGCCCCGCTGCGCCCTGGTCCCGCCGACCTGGCCGGCGAGCAGTGTGCGGAGCCCCCGAAAGCGCGACCGGGTCCCGGGCGGTTACGGGCTGCGCCGGCGGCGCGCTCCCTCCTGCGGCGTCCTGCCTCGGCCTCCTGGGTGTCCATCCTGCTGCTTCCGCGGCGGAGGGGAAGGCGTCCTGTCAAAGTTGTCTGGGGTTCGGGGTGGGGCTGAACGCTTCAGGCACTGGAAGAAATGATTCGAGGGAAGATAGGAAACACCACGTTTAGGTCCCAGGTTCTTACATTTATGTATAATATTGCATAAACTCATCACAGCTCAAAACGAGAAGTGGGAAAGTGGGGAGCAGGGATGTTAAAGTACACAGAGTAGGAATTTGAACATAGATCTCCCTGGTTCCAAATGGACTTCCCATTCTGTCAGAGAATAAAGGGTCCAGATATACAAGTATATACAGTACTAGGTAGTAAGCACAGAGTTAAGTTTTCCAACCTGGAAACTTTCTGCATGTGAAAATTTCACTCTATTATTATGAACGAGCATTTTTTAAATCATATGGAAAAATTTCATTTTCTTATCATTGAGCAAAATCAGTCTGTCTGTCTTGTCTGTCTGGACAACATTACCTAGGAGAGCTAGGTCAGAACAGGAGATGATTCCACATACTTCTTGGTAGTGACGTATGGTGGATGCCCAGGTCTTGGAGAAATCAGGACGAAAAAGAAATCGGAAAATCTTTTTAACTTTAGGTAACATTTGAAATAAGAACAGTTATGGAGCTTATATAATGTGTGACTGAATCACATGTAAGAGAATGACAGATAAGTCCAGTCTCAAATAATGTTACTGGCTTTATTACAACTTGATTTGGCAACACCACCATTGTATAGACTAAGGAACTGAAATACAGAAAAATTCCAAGATCAGTAAATGGAGTTCACTCTTAGGTGTTTCTACCGTTTAATAAATGTGCATGTTTGTTTCTGCTCTTTCTAGTGAAACTGAGTTTGTTTTTGTTCTGCTCTTCCCAATCAACAATTATTTTGACCTTGTATGCTTCTTCTGCAGAAATAATGGATGCTATGTGTTCCTTTCTCTTTTAGTGGGTCATTTAAGTGGCTTTCATTTATGATTTATGGATTTTCTCTTAAGTATTCAACTCTTGTTGGTATCTCAGGAGGCAGGCTGCATAGTACAGATGCTCTTTTTCTCTTAAGTACTGGCATAGTATTTGATGACAGGCAGGAAGATAATCATTTAGTCTTTTACTTCTAGGATATTGAATATATTTATAGAGGAGAATTCTTGCTTAAATTAATTGGGGGACAAACTCCACTGCCTAAATTAGAACATAAGATGGAGACACAAAATTATATTTGTTGCTCAGACATAGAAGTAGGGTCCTGTGGTAATCTTCATTTGGGTTCTTAGGAGGGCATTTCTTTTCCTTTTTCTTCATAGGACCATTGGCAACTCCCTGAACTGTGGTGAGGCATCTTGCAATCCAATTTGTTTAATCCCGGGGGGGAACAGCAGAATTGATATAAGCAAAAACATAGCTTCATTGCAATTTTAAAAAGGGGTGGGAGGTACATGTCTCAGTGATAGATGGTCAACATGAGGATGTCTTAAGCAAAGGCAGCATTTTAAAAAAATAATTTTTAAAAAATTTGTTAGTCATGTTTGCAATTCATGCAATTTATTAGCATCTTGGGGAGTGGTTGCATGTACATATCCCAGTTGTTTTTTTTTTTTTTTTTTTTTTTTTATTCCTTACCCTTCCTTCCTCGTACTCCCCCTCCTCCAGTTCTCCTTATCCTGTTGTTAATATTATTAGCTCATGTTATGGCATATTATGTTTACATGAATTAGGGTTATTAGTTTCCATACATGGCCTAACTTTATTATTTCCTATTCCTCCTCATTCCTGGCCACCTTTGTTCCCTATTGCAAGAGGTCTGTGCTCTTGTCCCTTTCTCTCCATCTTTTATAATTTTCTTTATACTTAAGACATGTTTTATCTAGATAACATGACTTGGTGTATGAATATAATACCAACATAACTGTGAAAGGTATCTATTTATTTGGGATCAGTTAACAAAAGAATTTACTGTAGGTTTAATACCAGAAAAAAGTGATGGAGCTTTAATTGTGATGGCAGTACCCTAAGAAAAAAGGTTGTTAAAGAATCAAGAAAGTGATAGGAGGGTCAGAACCAGGCTGGGATGATCAGAGGATGAGGAAATCCTTCATGGAGGGAAATGATTAAGTTAAGTCAGTCTCAGAGCTGGGAAGGATTTCTATAGACAGGGGGAATGCTAGGCAAGGGTTCAGCTAAGAAGTGATTGGAGACTGTTTAGATATATAGTGATATTAGAAGAATCTTGACTGTCAGTTGTGAGATCTACGTCTGCCCTGGAAATCATAGGAAGTGTAGGTCTCTGAGAAGACCTGTTTCTCTGTTCAGAGGCTCCTTCCAGAAGATGAGGTGTTTCCTGGTATTAAAAGAATTTGTCAACTGAATGCACCAAAAGCTTTCTTACACAAGTAAACATTTTCACATTTCAAGTAAGCTTGCCTTTTTCAAAGCCCCTACCCCAATTATCGAATTACAAAAAAAAATCTAAAAACTACAATAATAGGAAAAGGAAAATTACTATAGTCTTAACAAGTAAAGACAATCACTACTAACATTTTTATATGTACTTTTAATCATGCTATATATATATATATATATATATATTTCTAAATTCTGTAGTCTTTTTTGCTGAATTTAAAGTAGGTAGTAGTTTATTAAAATATGTGCATAGTTTTCTATTAGTTAAATGTACTAGTTTCCTAGTTATTCCTCATTGTCATGTTGTTGATAATAAATAACATTGTGATGAACATCTTTGAGCATAGCTTTTTCTTTATTTTAAAAACTAATTCCTTAAAAATAAGATCCTGTGGGAATAGAGTATGAGTTTTTAACGTTAGACTACTTTAAGTATGTTTTGAAACTATTGGCTTCTATGTATTTAATTTGGGACACAATATCGGGGAATAGAATGTTTGCATTCTTATAATACCCAAAACTGACTGTAATTCCTCAGATTATACTCTTTCAGGCAACCTCTTCTTTTTTGATAAGAAGGATTAACTAAATCATAGGAGCTGGGAATAAAGGTTGGCAGTTGGGACTACAGAAGAGAGAAGATACAATAAAAGTTGGAGAACAGGTTTGGTGAGAGTGAGCAAGAATTCATAGTAAGACAAGAGGTATGTGAGACAGAATACTTTCTGGTATCAGGGTTGTATTCTTGAACTTTGACTTTCAACCTTCATTTTCCTACCCCTAACACACACCTGATACTGTATTTGTATCCTTGAAATGCTAGCTTCTGTCCTCCTGTATTGAGTTTCCAGGTCTGTGTCCTGATAATACAAAACACAGATAGTAACTCACTCTTGTACTCTAATTTGGAGAACTTAGGTGTGTGAGGACACACCTAAGTGAGAACTGGAGCTTTTGCCTAATTGTAAGCACAGTGCTGGGTGCAAGGTACAGGAATGTTTGTGAGGTGCACTTGATGGACACTTAAACTTTCATCTCCTTCCTTAGGTGCTTTTGCCAGAGATGACCTTTTGGAACAGCAGCCACTAAGAGAGAAGCTTACATTCCCACCTTCACCTCCCAGCATTGAGATGCACCCTTCCCCTTTGTTCCCAGTCTCCAGTTTACCAGAGAAATTCCCCACATGGAAGAGGACTACTCTGCCCTGCTTTCCCCTGTCCATTGTGGGAACACGCAGCACTTGCTCCTGTGCTGTGGAGGGGCCAGGGTTGAACTGGTGCCTTGACTGGGCTTCTTCCTTATTCCAAGTTCTCTCCTGAGCTTCCTTCGGGACCTGCTTCCACCTGCCCTGGGCTGGAGGCTGAGAATCTGTCGAGGCAAGTAGGCCATTCAGTGTGTCTGAGCAGCAGTGGAAGGGAGCTGAGGGTAGGAATGTAACCTTGAGGACACAACTGGAGAGCTTAGGCAGATTCTGAGGAGGAAACCTGGGAAGAAACAATTTAAAAAAGTGCCTTACATTACAAAACAAAAAGAAATATTCTAGGAGATGATTTCTGATGGAAGCTAGACATTCAGAGGCAGAGTATTTGAGGCAGAATTTGTTCTGTGCTTCCTTGGAGGCTATTTTTTAAAAGTTTGCCTAAGTTCTTAGAAGGTGGTAAATCTATTTTGATTTCTGTCAGGCATTATCTTGTCAGAGTTGAAGTAGGCTTAGCAAACATTAGAATTAGAATTAAAAGTAGAAAAGTTAAATTGAAGTAGGCTAGCTGGTTTATTCTCTACTAGCTTTAGTTTCCCACTTGACATTTATCTTCTGACACAATCCTGTTGACAAGGCTCGGGCATTGGGATTGTTTAGGCTTTGGGAAAGTGAGAGAGAAATAAATTTTTCTCTCTCTCTTTTTTTCTCTCTCACTTTTTACTTGGTGGGCACCTGGTTGGCCTGTATTCTTTTGAAGGCTTAGCATTGAGTTGTCAAGTGTTTGCTGGATCTTCTCTGGGGCTGGCCATAAGGTCTCTGAAAATGCTTTCTTTTCTTTTTCTTTTTTTTTTTTGAAATTGAGATACTGTTGGTCCATTGGGTATGCTAAACCATCCACATTGTTTGCTTTGTCTAAATTGCTTTCAGACTTGTGTTATCTTTGTCCTTCTGCCTAGCCATGTGAAATGGAACATCATATTTGATGAAGGATTGCTTTTGAATATTTCTTTCTTACTCATTACTTTGCAAA